TAATTAATAAATCATCATTATCAACTCAATGATCATCATATGGCTTTATAAATTCATGATAATTTTTCATTTGATTAAGTAAAATTCCTGCTGATTTATCACCACCACCTAACGATTTCCAAATATTTAAAGCTGCTTTGGCAATAATTTGAAATCTACCAATTTGCAATCCAGCTCCTAAAATTAAATACAATAAATAAAAATTTTTAATAATAATTAAAAATACTGTATAATATAAATACAAACCATGATATTTTGGATGAAAAAATATCCTAGTTTAAAAATCTCAAAGTTAAATTCATCCCACCATGAATCATAAATTTGAATACAAATTTTTCAAAACTCAATATATTCAGTTTTTATTGGAATATGATATATTGCAGATACTAATTGAACTAATTTAATATAAACATCTGCAAAGTTGTTGATTTGTATTCAACTGCTTTTATAGCTTCCTTTGCAGGATATAAAATTCGTGCTAAACATTCAACATCATTAAAAAATTCTTGAGATTTAATAACACTAGCGATATTATCTGAAACTAAGTTTGAATAATTTTGTAAAATCTAAATAATATAAAAAATTATTTAAATAAATTAGATATATATAATTTTAATTATAATAAATAGTAATAAAATAAATGATTTACCATAGTAAAGCATGATTGTAATCGTAAAATTGAAGTAAGGCAATTCCAAGTTGTTGACCAATGTGTTTTTACTGATGATTGAATTCTACTACCAGAAATTAAGTATTCTTGTTGTAATTCTCGAAGTAATTCTCCAACTTGATGAGATAATTTGGTCTATTTTACAATTAATTGACATTTTTTTAATATATCTGATGCCCATTGCTGTTTAATTATATCTTTTGTTATAAGATTTATATGATGTGCAATACAATGCACAGGAATAATATATGGATAATTTTCAACAACATAATTTTTAGCTAATTTCATATTTGCAGCACTATCTGTAACAATTCCACCAAACTTTTCTGCTCCAGTTATTTCGATAATATCTTGAATTTCTTGAGCAAGAAATCTACCAGTATGAGATTGTTTTGAATAATTTCAAAGGCTATATAAATATTTTTTTTTGTTTGGTGTTATTAATAAATAGGCATAAATACTTTGCCCAACGGGATTGGTCCACCCATCAAGACCTAGATTAAAAATAATTTAGTATAAGTAGTATTATATTACTAAATTTATATAATTTTAAATTAATGTATATACTAACCAAGTGTTAAATTTTTTTCATTTTTCATTTCATTCTCAATTTTTATAGTTATATTTGCAATTTCACTTTTTAATAATGTTGTTGATAAATAAATTCGCTTTGGTGGTTCATAATCTTTATTTAAACATTTTATAAATTCTAAAAAAAATGGATGCTCAACAACTGAAAATGGTATTCCACAACAGATAAAAAAATTTAAAAAGCCCTATCATATTCTCTTTTCATTTCTGATAGAGAAATTTTAGGTTGATTATTTGATTCTTGAGACTTATCAGTACGGGTTTTTTTTAGAAGTTGGAAAATCAGTATCCATATCTTCTTCTTCTTCTACATGATTTCTTGCAGATACTATTCTAAGAAACTTTTGTTTAACTTCACTTTCAACTTCCGTACATTCAGTAGCCAAATGATCTTCTAAATCTTTTGGCTTTCCACGTGCACAAGATTTACCACACTTGCATTTTGCGCCATAATGTCCACGATCTTTGTGCTTTTCTTTTTGAATATAATTCCATACTTCTTTTGGTGGTCTTCCGGTTGTATTTTTAGATGACATAACTCCTTACGAATTAGTAAAAAAAGTAAAACAATAAAAAACTTTATAAAACGAATTTATTTTTTATCTTTAATAAAAAATACTTTTTTTATTATCGATTATTTTTAATTTTATTACATCACTTAGTATTACTATATCAATCAATGATATATTACTTTCGACACTTTATGGCATTAATTTTGACTTGAGGCATTGATTATCAGTTGCGGCATAAATTTTAGCTTTAGACAATGCCGCATGTCAAAATTTAGGTAGAAATTATGCCGCAATACTTTCTGTGACATGTATAAATAGCACATTATGTTCAAGATGATGCTAATGTATCTTATGCGAGGAATGCAAAAATTGTTAATTTACTGTTAGAAGATATATGTATATTGTTTTATTAATAATATAGACAAAGAGCAGTAATCCAAGGGCTGTAATAGATATAAAAGAAAACAATTATTTAAAACTTATAAGTAAAAGTATTTATAAATATGCAGCAGATTCAAAAATGCAAATAAAGGAGAAATAAGAACAATATTGCACAATTAATCATGTATCTTAAAGTAAATAGTATTGATTGAAATAAAATTTCTATAATTAATAAGAACATATATAAAAGTTTTGCCAATTTAAAGTTTCGCTTGACTTAATTAGTCGACAATCATCAATACTAGAGATAATCGGGT